AACTAAATATACCACCGAATGTTCTTACCTAATATACATTATTCCTAATTGATTTTCTTTCTTAACACTCCCTCTCAAGCTGGTATATATATATCTTATAAATCCAGCTTGGTACACAAAAATCTCAACTGATTACTGTTCAATGATTTCGTAAACATATCAGCAAGTTGGTCTCCGATCTTCACAAATGGTGTGCATATATCACCACATACTATCTTGTCCCGAACAAAGTGATAGTCAACTTCAATATGCTTGGTCATTTCATGAAAAAATGGATTGGATGCAATATGTAAAGCTGGTCGATTATCACAGAATATCGGTATAGGAGTAGAGGGTGAGAGATTGATTTCTTGAAAAAAGTGTTGCAACCACGTCGATTCACTAGCAGTATGAGCCATCGCCCAATATTCTGCTTTTGCACTTGACCTTGCAACTACAGTTTGTTTCTTACTTTTTCAAAAGACAAGATTACCACCGAGAAAAGTACAAAAACCAGTAGTTCCGACAGAGAACCTGCCCAATCGGCATCTGTAAACCCTTCTACCCTGATATGTCCATTTGATTTATACAATAATCCAAGACCTGAGGCCTTTTTCAAATATCGAATAATACGTATCACAGCTTCCCAATGAGAAACTCGAGGAGCATCCAAGAACTGACTAATAATGCTGATTGCATAAGAAATATATGGCCGTGTGATAGTAAGATAATTCAATTTTCCAACCAAACGACGTTATTTTCCTGGTTCTGCAAATAATTTTCCTTCATCATTCAAAAACTTCATATTAGGATCCATAGGAGTATCAACTGGACGAGTTCCAAGAAAACTTGTCTTATCTAACAAGTCAAGAACATATTTTCTTTGAGATAAGTTGATACTTGCCCGAGACCTAGCAACTTCAATACCCAAAAAATATCGGAGCTTGCTTAGATCTTTGGTCTGAAAATATTTTTGTAGAAACTGTTTTAATCGAGCAATCACATCTGCATCATCACTAATGATTAAAATATCATCTACATAGACTACAAGGATAACACGACCTGCACTAGTTTGTAGATGAAATACTGAATGATCTGTCTGACACCTTTGAAGACCAAATTTCAGAACAACCTCAGAAAACTTTCCAAACCATGCCCTCGGTGATTGTTTTAACCTATATAAAGTATTTTTCAACTTACAAACATAGTTTCGATACTCCCCCCTGAGCAACAAACTCAGATGGTTGCTCCATATAAACATCTTCGTGCTAATCACCATGAAGGAAGGCATTTTTAATATCCAATTGGAACAATGGCCAATCAAGATTAGCAGCAATAGAAATCAAAACACGAATAGAAGAGATTTTAGCAACCAGAGAAAATGTTTCATCATAATCAACGATAGTGCGCCCAAATCAGTCCTAAACGACAGAGAAATTGGCAATGCAGTGCAATCCGGCAGCCTATCGACCACTGACCACGATGAAACAAACCCTCCTATCGACCGACCAAAATTGAGAGCTCCGGTGACCACCTACAACAGAGACGACAATGCCAAAGAAAAAACCCACTTCTACAATCGCCTAAACATCGTGAAATTACAACCAAACGATCGACTACAGCCACGAGAACACCCACGCATCCCACGACTGCCACTACAATCCACCAACAACTATGGCTACCCTCCGCTGCCACACACAATGCGAAATACTCGGGTTGCTGAGGAAAAGGAAGAAGTGGAAGAAAAATACCAAACTCTAAAAAAAAATCAGCTCTGATACCATGTTTAAACTAGGGTTTGGTAGAAGCATTAGAGAGAAGAAGGTAAACTCTTCCTCTCATCTTCCTTTTATTATATAGAAAAAAATTAACGTGTACATATATGGAAACTAAATATACCACCGTATGTTCTTGCCTAATATACATTATTCCTAATTGATTTTCTTTCTTAACATCTTTAAAAATTATACGATGAAACATTTCCGTGATCAGGATTGTTGAAAATGGTATCTACTATTCACATAAAAACCAGTCAAATTAAGGTATTTACTATTCACTTAACACTAGTCACATAAAACTGAAAGTGAAATAAACAGTCAGATGCAAATACCTTAATCATTCTTTCACATTGGGTGATTATGTATAAAACTGAAAATTATATCTACCGTTCACATAAGATCAGTCAAATTAAGGTAGGTGTCTACCATTCACAAAAAACCACAGAATGGAATAAACAGTCATTCTTCTCAAATCCAGCAAATATTACAACATAAGACCGAAAAAAACCATAAAAAAGTTTGAGAATTTTAGCTACCTGAGGTTTATAAAATTTTGAAGAAACCTTTTTCTTCTTCTCTGAAGATCCCTCTTCATTAACCATTTTTCTCTTCAATTCCTTAAATTCACTTTTCCAGACATTTGTTTGCGTCAGGTGGTGGCTTATAGAGGTCGAAATTAGAGTCGGTGCGGGTTTATAGAAGTCGGAGTCGGAGTAAGGCAAGGTTTGTTCACAGTTTCTTTTTCCGAGCAAAACAAGTGAAAATGCATTAACCAAAAGGATTAGGATCTCCCTTCCCGGCCCATTTAAATGGGAGGCCCATAATCATCATTATTGGGCTTGTTTACCAAACCTTTCTAGGGCCCATGAGCCCAAGAATTTTATCCCATAACATTATGTTATCCTCAGTAGCAAGCCCAATAACACTAAGACTACAAGCAGCCAGAGTCCAATAACGGGCCCTAATCTCAGCCCTAAGCTGTTCTCTTTCCCAAGCACAATATCCATCAAAAAATTTGAAGTCCTCTACTTGTACCATTCTCCTTTTCACCATTTCAGCTGCACAACCCAGACTCTCTTTTGTCCCAAAGTACAACCCTTTCATTACCTCGTCGAAAACCCCACTTTTCCCGACCGAATCATTCCCCTCTCTTGGGGTTACAAGAAAAACCCCTTCTTCCAATGGCCCCCCAAAGAATAAGGGCCTATTGGAAAAAGTGCCCGATACATCGAGTGCTGATGAGCCCATTTCTTTAATAGACATGAGCGAAGCTCTATTGAGTATAACACCAGTTGGGCCAATTGGGCCTGTTGATAAGAGAAGGATCACTGTCTTTTGGAAAATGTGGACCCCATTTAGCTTTTCTGTGGCAATCAATAGGCAACCTCTTTCGGGTTCATGGATGGTGTGAGCCCATTCGTCTCCAATTGTGTATTGTTGAGGGTGAGAAACAATGGTATCTTGATCAACCATTAAAGAAGGCTCTACTTGATTTAAGGCTCGATCTCTTGCTACTAGTCTTGCTCTAAATGCTCGCCAATCAGTGTTAATGTAAGGCATCAACTCGTCTTGAGGAGACGAGGACGGTGTACCCGATTGGCAACCTATAATTGATCCAAGATATACACAAAAGTTATAGCTCGTTTATTTTCACTTCATCAATTAGGACTGATGAAACAATTCATTTTCAAAGAAAGCTTTAAACAGATAGTATTACGACTTTGAGTTCCATTTTGAAACGTCAACTTTATTAAGAGGCGTAACTCAAACTCTTATAAATTGATTTATGTTTTCATCTTTATTCAATGAGAATTTATCCTTTAACATGTATTGTAAGACGGTGGCTTGTCTGAACAGACTAATCTTGAAATCCACGTACTCATTTTTTTAGTCTTAATCGAATCAAAATGTTCAATTGAACTTAATAAGCTCTAATTCCATATTAAGGCTTGTGGCTTCGTTAATAGGAGTAGTCCAAACTCTCATAAATTGGTCTATATTTTCATCTTTATTCGATGTAGAAATTTATTCCTTAACGATAGCACAATATTTACACCAAATTTGGTTACCAAATCTATGTGTTTTAGGCTCAATTATTTCTAGAAGATAGCATACAAAAATCTGTAAAACAAATACCAAACTTACATGCTATAGAAAATGGATTCCCAGATTTCCTGCACAGATACTGATTCAGATTTTTCCCTGGAATTCTTCCTTTGACCGAAGGAAGAACTTCAACGGTTTTAGTAAAGGAATTTGAAGAGAGAAAACAAGCATCCATGCTGGTTTATTCGATAGCACTCAGTTAAAAACAGAATAAAAACGAAAACTTTTTGGCCCAATGGATAGTTTCAAGGATAAGAAAATACGTACAAGGAGTCAGGATTGTGTTTACGTGGAAAAATTTTGGAGTTATATTGATGACTTGGAATGCTTCTAGCCACTTCTGTCTGCACACTTGTGGTGACATTTCCACCGCAGAATGTGAAGTATGCGAGAATTGAATACAAATGTGAACGGTTCTAATAGTTCGACCATAATGAAATGTTGATGATTAACTTTTAATTTTTTTTAGTTCATGTTTTATTCAATTAAATATTAAAATTTTTATGGTTTAGGGTTTAGAGATTTTCATCAAAGTTAATGAAATATGCAGTTGAAAAGTAAAAATTATGAATTTCATAAAATATGTTTAGAAAATATGGGTTTAACACGTGGGCTTAGTGAACTAGTGCTACATATAGACGATTGGTACGTGCCCAAGTGGTTATAATTGATTTAAATTATAAATAGAGATATATATGAGTAATGAATAACTGGTAGATCTTACAAAATATACGCATAAAAAGTAAATTTAATTGAATATATTTATAAATTAAATAGAAACCAACCATAACTTAAGAGAGTGGACTTTTAGTATCGTATAGATGGGGATTTAGCATTATTTAATTGAGAATCAATAATGTAGTTATCCACTTGTTCATTAAGGTATATCCATTTTTTAAGTGTTTGGTGAGATAGCAGTAGAATTTAACATAAGGTATAGGTGGGGATTGAAAATTCTTTTCTTTTATTCAGGTGAGATGGCTTTCAGTCCTTTTCATGTTTTTATTTTTAATATATATATTAAGCAAATTCCATAGATATTGAAATTTGAACACAACACAAAGGGAGATTTACTCTATTTCTAGCTGCCCTCCGCGCAATTCCTCCTCTTCTATAGCTCAAAGCAGCCCAATCCGAGATTAAAAAATAAAAATAAATAAAAAAATAAAAAAAGAGAGAGTGAAAATTTGATGGACTAAATGTTTTCAATATCTCAACTCATAATTAAGAGTTACACGTTTTTCTTTCAAAAATCATATATAATTAAAATTCTAAATATTAATTATATTATTATAAAATTAAATTAATTAACATACCCCATCTAATCCACCTCACTTCCAAACCTTAAATATTTCCATAGCCTTCTATCTTTCTCCCTTCTCTCGCTATCTCTTTCTCTTTTATCTCTTTAATAGCGTCGCATATCAGTGGTGAGCACGCGGCGAGAGACCACAGAACGTTGGTAGCACACGGCGATCTCTAGAGGCTAGGCAGGGTTGGTAGCAAGATGCAACCACAATAATCTAGTTGGTAACACGAACCGACGACGAGGATCTCGAATGCCACGCAACAGCGTGGTGCTGCTTCTTGCATTGGTAGCACACAACGACGTTCTTCCATTGTATTTCTTTATTTACGTGAGATCTATGTTTCTTTGTTAGCGTGTGATATGTTTCAAGGTTGAATCATTGGTTACACAGGCGGCGATGTTGCCGACGGCCACGGCTTTGGGAATTTTTTTGGGTAAGGATTGTGGTCTTGGTGTGGTAGAGATTGAATGCTTGTTGTGGTGGTGTTGGGGTTGAATCGTTGGTGGTACAAGTGGTGATGGTGTTGGCGATAGTGGTGTTGCAGTAATGGTGAAGTGGTGCCCTGTGGTGGTTGTGACCAATTATTTTTTGTTGTCACTGTCGTTGTGGAGGTTGGAAAGTAGTGATGATTTTTGCTGGGGTGTTGGTTTGTTTGAGATGATGGTGGTGTTGTCGGGAGGTGGCAGCAATGCTATTGAATGTAGTGGTGAGGTGGTGGTCACAAATTATTTAGTTGATGTGTGACCAATGACAATAGATAAATTGCGATCAGTAAATTGGTTGATGTGTGATATAAAAATTTGTTAGTTTGTAAACAATAATTTGATAATTGTGACCGTGTAATAAGTTGTGATTTATAAAATTTGTAACTTCAAACCTGTAAATAAATAGTGACTTGTAAATTTTTTATCTGTAATCGATTAAATAAATTGTGACCTGTAAAATTTTTAATTTGTGATCGTAATATAAATTGTGATCTATAAAATTTTTGGTTTGTCAATGAGAAATAATTTGTGACCAAATTATATATAGTTGTGACCTTAATATATTTTATTAAAAATATATATTTTTAATTAATTATTTCATAAATAAAATTTAATTAACATCTGATTTTTGAAATTTTAAACTTTGTTTCTTAATTTTGAAATTGATCATACTTATCTTACATATAAAAATTTTCCTAAAAAGAATTTGTCTACTTACAAAAATACCTCTAAAATTAAGAGTCTTTTGAAAAATCATATGAAAAATATTTTGGAAATAAAAATGTACTATGTAAAATTAAGTCTTTTTAATAATAAAAGTGACACAATGTCACTTTAAAGTTTAATGTCACTTTTTTTTATCAAATGTGATATAAAACGCACTTTACCAGAAAGCAGTATTTGTCATCGAAAAAAGTGACAGAAACTTCAAGAAACATTCAAAAAAGTGACAAAAAAAATACTAAAAAAAAATAAAAAGACACCAATTAAAACATATATTTGTCACTCAAAAAAAGTGACAAATACAATTAAAAAAAGTGACAAACGCTAAAAAATGACACGTTCAAAAAAGTGACTCAAACGCCAATCAAAACCTATGCTTGTCCTTAAAAAAGTGGCAGAAAATTATAAAAGTGACAAACACATAAAAAAAAAGTGACGAAATACCAATCAAAACCTATGTTTGTCACTCAAAAGAAGATAGAATTTTTTACAAAGTATCAAACAATAAAAAGTGATAAAATTTTAACAAGGTGAAAGAAAAAAAAAAAAAAGGAAAAAAAAAAAAAAAAAAAAAAGTGCAAGCAATATTCAAAAAAGTGACAAACACTCAAAAAGTAACAAAAATTTAAAAAAATGACAAAACATCAGTCAAAACCTATGTTTACAACTAAAAAAAGTTCTAAAAAAAGAGAGAGAGAGAGAGAGAGAGAGAGAGTGACAAACGTTATTCAAAAAAGACAAACACTCAAAAAAGTGATAAAACATCAGTGAAAATCTTAAAATATATCATTTTATAAAAACTCAACCACTCCAGCATTGTATATTGAATTAGTAATAAATGATGATACGAGACATTTTACAATTATTAAGGAAGCTTTACTTAGGATTTTTCATATACATATCATTTGAGGCATAAACTTGTGACTGTCAATAATCTATCTTAAACATTTAGCTATTGAAACTGCTCATCATGGCATGTACGGGAAACTACTAACACTTAAAAGGACCACCACATCAATCTCTACGTTAAAGGATTAAATAAATGATCCCAAACACCATAAATTTTTGTCACAATTGGCAATGTTGCAGCTTCCACAACGTAACTAGCATTGTTGGCATGTGTAGTTAGCCATGTTCTATCGAGAGATTTTGATCCATTGGTGTGGGAAGAAACAAAAATGGAAAGTGAGAGCAATTTAATGCACAAGTTTTCCCAAAATTAAATGTCATGTTCTAATCTATAAAAGAAATTCTACTTAAAATGAAAGAGAACTTTAACTATGCCATGAATTCTTATGACTTTGAGAGCATATCTTCTGCAGATTAATATTAGGATAGAACATGACATATAGATGTTGGATGGTTATTGTATCAACAATCTAATGCAACCAATTGTCACCATAAATTGGCTTCATGACTACTGGAAAGAGAAATGTGTAGTTCCTTAAGAGTCATATTAGGTTCTTCATTTATTTGGGTTGACATTATTCATTACTTAAACTATAAGCTTATGAGAACTTTGTTATACAAGGCAAATATTCAGCTGAATTAATCAAGACAAGCATAGCTTTGATATGTTCTGCTCCTCTTGGTGCCCAAGAGTTACGCAAAAGTGTTGTTGTCTTTTGTTTAAACTAGGGTTTGGTACAAGCATTAGAGAGAAGAAGGTAAACTCTTCCTCTCTTCTTCCTTTTATTATACAGAAAAAATTAACGTGTACATAAATGGAAACTAAATATACCACCGAATGTTCTTACCTAATATACATTATTCCTAATTGATTTTCTTTCTTAACACTCCCTCTCAAGCTGGAATATATATATCTTATAAATCCAGCTTGGTACACAAAAATCTCAACTGATTACTGTTCAATGATTTCGTAAACATATCAGCAAGTTGGTCTCCGATCTTCACAAATGGTGTGCATATATCACCACATACTATCTTGTCTCGAACAAAGTGATAGTCAACTTCAATATGCTTGGTCATTTCATGAAAAATTGGATTGGATGCAATATGTAAAGCTGGTCGATTATCACAGAATATCGGTATAGGAGTAGAGGGTGAGAGATTGATTTCTTGAAAAAAGTGTTGCAACCACGTCGATTCACTAGCAGTATGAGCCATCGCCCAATATTCTGCTTCTGCACTTGACCTTGCAACTACAGTTTGTTTCTTACTTTTTCAAAAGACAAGATTACCACCGAAAAAAGTACAAAAACCAGTAGTTCCGACAGAGAACCTGCCCAATCGGCATCTGTAAACCCTTCTACCCTGATATGTCCATTTGATTTATACAATAATCCAAGACCTGAGGCCTTTTTCAAATATCGAATAATACGTATCACAGCTTCCCAATGAGAAACTCGAGGAGCATCCAAGAACTGACTAATAATGCTGATTGCATAAGAAATATATGGCCGTGTGATAGTAAGATAATTCAATTTTCCAACCAAACGACGTTATTTTCCTGGTTCTGCAAATAATTTTCCTTCATCATTCAAAAACTTCATATTAGGATCCATAGGAGTATCAACTGGACGAGTTCCAAGAAAACTTGTCTTATCTAACAAGTCAAGAACATATTTTCTTTGAGATAAGTTGATACTTGCCCGAGACCTAGCAACTTCAATACCCAAAAAATATCGGAGCTTGCTTAGATCTTTGGTCTGAAAATATTTTTGTAGAAACTGTTTCAATCGAGCAATCACATCTGCATCATCACTAATGATTAAAATATCATCTACATAGACTACAAGGATAACACGACC